TGATCTCAGAGAAGGGGGGGGGGGGAGAGAGAAACATAGTGATGAGGGAGTCATTGATTTGCTGCCTCTGAGCCAGCAACCCAGGCATGTGCCCTGACCCAGAATCAAGCCTTGATCTCCTGGATCATAGGCTGATACACACCAACTAGACCTACCCTATGTTTTGAATTTACCTCTTTTAAAAGTTTTTTGCGCCCAGCCAGTTGGGGCTCAGCGGCTGAGCGTTGACCTAGGATCCAGGTGATCGGGGTTCGATTCCTGGTGAGGGCACATGCCCAAGTTGTGGGCTCAATCAATGACTCTCTCATCATTGATGTTTCTATCTCTCTCCCTCTTCTTTCCTCTCTCTGAAATCAATAAAGACGTATTAATTAANCTATCTCTCTCCCTCTTCTTTCCTCTCTCTGAAATCAATAAAGATGTATTAATTTAAAAAAAAAAAACTTTTTTGGATGCTTTTATTACTGTTTTAGAGCACTTACTTGCCTTTTCCAGAATTCTGTATAAATCTTTGCGGTTGGAAACTACATTTGACATTTTGTTTTTGCTTTGAAAAACTGTCCATTACCATAATTAATAATTCCTATTATTAATAATAACTAATAATTGTCCTCAACTAATATACTTTTTTTCTCCAGTGGAATTTCCACTTTATTTTTCTAAAGGTAGATTATGTGTACTTTATCATTTGTACCCATACTATCTTTGTAAAATAGCTTGGTTGGGACTTAGGTTCCACATGTGCCATTCTAGGGCCTGAGTTGCTCATTAACAGCATTTCTTTTCATTTTTAAGGTATACTTTCTTACAAAACTAGTCAAATTTTCAAACTTACTTCACATACAGCAAATGTCAGAAGTCTCACAGCTCTCATGAGGGTCAAGGGAATTTTGTGAAGCCAGGAACAGCCCCGGCCGGTGTGGCTCAGTTGATTGGGTGTTGTCCTGTGCACTGAAAGGTTGCCTGTTTGATTCCTGCTCAGGGCACATTCCTGGATTGTGGGCTCAATCTCCGGTAGGGGATGCACAGGAGGCAGACCATCAATGTTTCGCCCTCACATCGATGGTTCTCTCTCCCCGCTGTCCTTTCCTCTTTCTAAAGAAAACGAGAGAGGAATATGAAGACTGTGAGCCTGGACTAATTGCAAGACAGTGCTAAACCTGACACTAGCTGTGGTCTCACATCCCATGGACCCTGAAATAGGAACTATATTCTTGAAATAGTTAACCCTTGACACGACCCAGCCATCCCGTGACCTGTTAATGAAGGGGATAGGTATGCCAGGAGAAAGATCTGAGACAAACAGAAAGGTGGGTGTAGGATCAGAACACTTAAAGTTCTGGCATTGCTTTGGATGTGTTGAGAAATGGTAAGATACTGGATATTTTTGAAAGTGGAGCCCACAGGATCTGCTGATATATTGGATATGAGGTGAAAGTCAAAGAAATCCAGAATAACTAGGCTTTTGGGCCTGAGGCTATGGAAGAAAAGAATTGCAATTTATTGAACGAGCAGAGGAAGGTTGGCCAAATGCAATTTATAAAAACAGGACATGGATGTTTAATACAAGCCACTCACTGGATGAGAAATTCTTTACCTCAAGCATATTAAAGGATCAGCTCTTACCACTGTTAAGTCTGTACATCTGCACAGTAAGACCACCAGTGAGTGATCTCAGAGCTGAGAGGCTGCCAGTGACTGGGCTGCGATGACAGTGTTGCGACCACAGATGGAAGCCCAGTCGGGAGCAGCTCTGTGTAGCCATACTTGCTGCTGCTGCTTCTGCGAGAGAAACCTAGTTTCATTGAGAAAACAAGCAAGTTGGACTTGGGTCACCAATACTGTCAATATTCCAGAAGGAAAAAAAGTGAGGCTCCATTTCTTGTTTAATCTAAACCTGTGCTGTCCACAGCCCTTGTGGCTATTTACATTTAAGTTAAATTGAAAATTAAATTGCTGTCACTAGGTATGTTTTAAATGCTCAACAATCATGTGTGACTAGTAGCTACCATATTGGACTTCAGAGACTTAAACCAATGACCTGTGCAGATAAATGACATTTAGCTGCTTTACTTTCAAACATCCAGCTTCGAAATGGTGAATACCTAGGGTTTGATGACATCGAAAAGTAGTAGCATTTCTAAACGCATATGTGAAGCATATAATGGTACCTCTGTACAAATCTAGGTCAGTGTGCTGTTGGAGTTATGGGCAAGAGTATTGTAAGTGCAGCAATGATAAGAAATCCATTATTATTACTATTTTCATTTTCACATTTGAATGTTCCTAAAAGTACTAAGACCATGCTGGGCATTTTATGAAAGTAACATTAAAATACCCTATCTTAGTGCATTTATTTATCTTCAGGCTCAGTATTTATGCAAACTGACCTGGAGGGCAGTCAGCTGAAGGTCCAGAAGTTAAATCCATAAAGCAAATTACCAGAAGAACCTGGGAAAAGCATCCCAGGTCTCTTCTTGATACGGCAGGAAAATCCTGTTGGTGAAACATGAAAATGAGGGGCGACATCAGGGATTAATTAAAGAAATCCATAGCAGAGGGGTGAGACATTCTTTTCAGCTCCTCAAAAATGAAGGATTTTGCAAGTGATAATCCCAAATGTGATGAGACCGTCATTGATTATAGGAATTTTTGAAGCACTGTGGCAAGCAGTTTAGTCCTATGTATTAGACCGTCAGAAATGGGAGATCTTTTTGCCCAATAAGTCGACTTTTATAAATTCATCCCAAGGAAGCAGCCTGGAAGGCAGGAATTTTTTCTGTATGAAAATTTTACCCCTCATTACATATAATTCCAAAAATGGAGACATTCTCAGTGCCCAGATATGGAGAAAAGGTTAAGTAATTAGACTATGATAACAATGATATATAATTTCTCTTGTTTTAAATATGTCTTTATTGATTTCAGAGAGAGGAAGGAAGAGGGAGAGAGAGAGAGAAAAACATCAATGATGAGAGAGTCATTGATTGGCTGCCTCCTGCATGTCCCTGCCTGGGGATCAAGCCCACAACCCAGGCCTGTGCCCTGCCTGGGGATCGAACCCCATCTCGTGGTTCATAGGTCGATGCTACGCTGGCCGAGCAATGAGGTATAATTTTTAACAATGTATAAAAGAGAAGCTGAAAGTGTCATCAATATTGACAGTAGTTACTAGGGAATGCAGTTTCTCTTGCCTTGCTGCTTTTCTACACTTCTAATTTTTCATTAATGAAAAAGTAGTAAATCTGGGGGAGATCCTTTTTGGAAATATTATATACCATATGACATCCCAGCTCTTTATTCTGTGGTGAATTATTAGCATTTTTAGACATTTGTCTAGATTTCCCCCCCTTTTTTATTGCTGCGTGTCTTTTCTATGTGAATATTCATAGCACAATGTATAACTGCATTTTAGGCCTTGTGCAGTGCCTGTGTAACTTAGCTCATTGCGCTGGTGCTTTCCAGAACTTTAAAAACTATTATAATCACTTGAGTAAGTGAACTAGGGTGCAGTTCACTATACATACATTTTTGTAAGTGTATAGTATACGTACGTATTCTATATACTAGGTATAGTATGTACTTATACTAGGATACAATTCTTATACATATATTTTATAAAATCTTACTTCCCTGCTTTTAGGGTTTGTAATGCCCAAAGCATCCAAGCTTTAAACACAAGTGGGATGCACATAACAGTACCTCTGTGCAAATCCTGGCAATGTTTTTGACCAGGATATTGTGTATATTCCAATCCTTAGAGTAACCAGTTAAAAAAAAAAAAATACAAGCACACTTCATTTTATTGCACTTCACGAATATTATGGGGTTTTTTTACAAATTGAAGGTTCAGGGCAAGCCCGCATGGAGCAAGTCTGTCAGCACCATTTTTCCAATAGCATCGGCTCACTTGGTGTCTCTGTGTCACTTTTGGTAATTCTCATGATAGTTCAAACTTTTTCAATATAGTTATGGTGATCTGTGATCAGTGATCTTTGATATTGCTGGGGCAAGACCCATACCAGCAAAAGGAATGAAACTTCAGAGCAGCCATTATAAATGTGTTCAAAATACTATGGAAACCATGGTCAAAGAATTAAAAATACCATGGCGCTGACTCATCAAATAGAGACTATCAATAAAGAAGTAGAACTTATGCATATATTATATATCCTCAAATATGAATTTAGAGTTCAAAAGCACAATAACTATAATGAAGAGTTTACTAAAGTGGTTAATAGCAGATTTGAGCTGGCAGAAGATGGAATCAATGACCTTGAAAGTTGAGCAACAGACATTATCTAGTCTGAGGAACAAACAGAGTTGGCGGAGTTATAGTCAAAATTCCAGGAGGCTTGTTTGAAAAAATTGACAAGTTGATTTGTTGGCCAGAACAGTCTGGAAGAAGGTTGAGGACATACAGTCCCTGCTCTCACGACGACATGCATAGACTTCTAGATCAATGGAATGGAACAGAGTTCAGAAATAGACCCACACTTGTATGGTTAATTGATTTTTAACAAAGACAGCAGGATAAATAACTGGGGGAAAGACACTGTTTTCAACAGATTTTGCTGGAACAACTGGTATTTATATGGGATGTAATGATCTGACCTCACACTGGGCACAGAAATTAACTAGCTGTGGATCATTGCTCCAAACATAAGAGTTAAAAGTATAAAACTTCTAGAAGAAAACAGAAAATCCACGTGACGTCACGTTAGGCAAAGATTTCTTAAACAGGACACGAAAAGTACAAACCATGAAAGAAAAGAATATTTGACCTCATCAAGATTCAATTTTTTTTTTCTTTAAAAGACACTATAGAAAATGAAAAGGCAGAGACAGATGAGAAAGTATTTACAAAACACATCTGACAAAGGGCTTGTATCCATAATATATACACAACTGAGTCGTAAACTCAGTGAGAAAAACAACCCAGTAAAAATAGGTTAGTGATTTCAACAGACACTTCACAAAACAAAAGATGAATAAGCTCAGTATCACTAAGTCATCAGGGAAATAAAAATTAAGTTCCCATAACTTATCCTCTAGAATGGGTAAAGTTAAAATGACTAGCGATGCCACGTAGTACTGGGGAAAACAAATTCATCCACAGGGTGGGGCAAAAGGAGGTTTCCAGTTGTTTGTATGGAAAATAATGCAATAATTTAATAATAATACGAGAATAAACTCCCATACTCACTACTGTAAACCTACCTTTGCCCACCCTGTGTTGCTGGTGGGGATGTAATAATTGTGTGGCCACTAGAAAAAATAGTTTCTTAAATGTACGTAAAATATACAACCCAAAACAGTTGTAGGTAATTTACCCAAGTGAGATGGAAACATACCTATACGTAGACTTGTATATGGATGTTCACAGTACCTTTGTTGGTAATGGCCTCAAACTGGAAATAACCTAGCTGCTGGTGAATAGATAAATAATTGAAGATCCATATTATTGGACAACTCCATAATATAAGGGAATGAGTTTTCAACACACACAACATCATGGATGATTTTAAGATGCATCATGCTAAATGAAATAAGACACAAATTCAACATACTCTGATTTCATTTAAATGAAATTCTAGAAAGGCCGAAACCTCAGTGGCTGCCTGGGGCCCCGAGTCTGGGCAGAGAATTGACGATAAAGAGGCGGGAAGGAACTTCTTGAGATGATTGGAGTATTTTTATTGTGGTGGTTACATGTGACTGTATACAGTTTGTCCAAGTTCACCAACCTGTACGCTTCAAAATCAGTGAATTTTATTGCACCTCAGTAAAGCCGTTAGAAGAAAAGAAACCATATCGGTAGGAGATGTCTACTTGCTTTTATTTACGTATACTCTCAAATTTTTCAGTAGATTTCAGTGGGTGTCTTGAGACTATGCTACATTTGAAATAGTTTGCCCCCGTGGAAATAAAAAAGCTTGCTAATGGGACAAAGCAGCGAGTTGCCATTAGTGTTCAGGGAAAGCCTTTCTGATGAGGGACATCTGAGCAGACACAGATGGAGTGAGTTCACTTCGGTAAAAGTCTCCCTCTGTGCCTTGCTCGTTTCCTACTGAATTTATATCTAGGTGTTCTTGTAGTTTCTGTTGCTTTTACAAACGAGATCTTTTTCATACTGCATTGGCTAATAATCCTTAAATTCATTTTTGTTTACGTCTCCCTCTGTCTTAGATCTCCATCCCCTTTGTTAAATTCCCCCAAGGACAGTAACTCTGCAGATTTTATGCCTTGGTGCCTAAAGCTCTTTATTTTGTGCTGCTCACAGCGTGTGCGCAGCGAGTGTGTTTTGATGTTTTTGACTGAGGCTCAGCGGATCATTGCTGCACGTATGCGTTAATCATTGTTTTTCCTAGCTCGGCGTAACACCAAAGCGTAAGTAAAACCCGGAAAAGACCTAAAGGGGGAAACCAGGACGCAAGTGCAGTTTCACGTAATGTGATTGTAATTTTACTAAATAAAGTGAAAATGGATGCACGTAAGAATGCTGGCTGGGAATTTAAAGCCACCCTGGCGGATGAGTTTGTGGGAAAGGTGAAAGCAGATATTCTTCAAGTTTCACTTAACAGATCACAGGAGAATGTTTGCAAGCAGTTGATTGGTCAGGAATAGATTAGAAACGGACGTCTTGGCAACATTTACTGTTTCATTTGAATAGAAGGGCTTCTTTTTGATTTTATGCCTGTTTTCGCTTAGTCCGCTTTAGGTAAGCAAGGTGTCAGGAACAGGATGGAGGGTTCAGCATCCAGTCAAAATGGGAGCGTCAGTAGCTCATGTTCAGGACGTACCAGCAGGTGGCAGCAAAATGCTTTGTTAAAATATTCTTGCCTTTTTCTTTTTTTCTTTTTTTTTTTAAGTCACATAGTAGATAGTTACTATATAGTTTTCTTTTAGCAAAGACCAAGGTAGGTATGATACCCTTATTTTCTTTAAATAGATACAAGTAATATTTCTGTTGTGTACTGTTAGTTTAAATTTAATGATTTTAGAAATTTAATTGATGTAGATTATTTTTTAAAATGTTAACTTTATACAGATTTTGTTAGCAGCTACTTCCTAATTGAAACTTTCATTGTCTGTAATATTATTATTTTACATGGAGCTTTCCACCTCAGAGACTTTTCTGAAAGACCCAGCTGTCGCGTTTTAGAAGTAAATAACATTTCACTAAACAATACACAAATGTTTAATCACACAGCTTTGGAGGCCTTTTGTTTATTTGTTTGAAAAAAAACACTCATGAATTTTTCTCTTTCATGACCAAACCAGAAATTAAGGGTGACTTTTATAAGAAGAAAGCCTTTTAATCCTAGGTAGTTAGGTCGGACCGATTTATCTTCACAAGGAATTGCAGGCCTCCAGGAAGTGACCTACATAGTATGGGAGACAGTGCCCAGGAAGGCCCGTGGGATGAGAGCTACTTAGAACCTACCCCATGGCTCAGGAAGGAGGTGGGGCAGGTGACAAAGTTCATGACTGAGGAGTGACATAGCAGAGAAATCACTGTCGTTTCTGTTTCTTTCTTTCTCTTCCCCCTTCACCCCCCCGAAATCAGTCTGTTTAGGACAGGGTTTGGAACTGCTGTAGAAAATACTATTTACACAGTGCTGAGGTTTCTTCCAATTTTTCACACAACGTACTGTTGAATTCTTATAGATTCTGAAGTTCTTGTAAAACTCAGCATTCGGAATAGACCTTTATCTTATGAAAACCTGATTCATCCAGATCACTTAACATATATCTTACATGCTTTGGAATTTTTACAGACCACAGAGAAACCTTTTTTTTTTTTTTTTCCCTTAATACACCCTAAAACAACACAGTCTGCCAGACCACAGAACATCCGTAATTTAGAACAGCAGATGTTGCTACACATGCTTCTCCTTAAAACCAAGAAGCACAAGAGAAAATAAAACAAAAAGTTAAAGCCCAAGAGAAACACGAAACAATACAGAGATGGGGGGGGCTTGAGCAGCCGAAGCAGTTGGTTCAGTTAGCAAGGACGGGACGTGGTGGCCTCAACTCTGTTTTTCGTGTCTATCTTTTAAATACTCTGTTAGCCCGAGTTCACGGCTTTCTACTAAACTTCCTTTTGCGTTAAAACTTCAGTTAAACTGAGTAAAGAGGTGCTTGATGTTCGCTGCAGTGTTGAATCATTTCACATCTTGTATGAGAATTGGCTAAAGCGTGCTGTGCCGCGGTAAGGGCTCGACGTTTTAGTCTCTGAGCCTGCTCACGGTCCCCTTTTGGTTTTCACTCCAGCTGACCCCACCGTTAAGGACTTAATCGGAGGCTTCACTGCTCTTCACTACGCGGCCATGCACGGCCGGGCCCGCATCGCACGCCTGATGCTCGAGTCTGACTACAGGGGCGACATCATCAACGCGAAAAGCAACGACGGCTGGACTCCCCTGCACGTGGCTGCGCACTACGGCAGGGACTCGTTTGTCCGGCTGCTGCTGGAGTTCAAGGCCGAGGTTGACCCGCTCAGCGACAAAGGTACGACCCCGCTTCAGCTCGCCATCATCCGGGAGCGGTCGAGCTGCGTGAAGATCCTCCTGGACCACAACGCCAACATCGACATCCAGAACGGCTTCCTGCTGCGCTACGCCGTGATCAAGAGCAACCACTCCTACTGCCGAATGTTCCTGCAGAGGGGAGCGGACACCAACTTGGGGCGCTTGGAAGACGGACAGACTCCCTTGCATTTGTCTGCCCTTAGAGACGATGTGCTGTGTGCACGGATGTTGTATAATTACGGAGCAGACACGAACACGAGGAACTATGAAGGACAGACCCCATTGGCTGTTTCATTAAGTATTTCTGGAAATGGTCGACCGTGTTTGGATTTCTTACAGGAAGTCACAAGTAGGTAACACAGTTATTCCTGTTATCGCATTTCTTAAAGTCGCACCTTCTGAGGGATTTAAGGTGTTTTTTTGCAACTAAAAATAACCAGGTATTCATGATTCCTACTAGCCCTGCTTGGTAAGTAATACCTCAGTCGTCGGAAATAAAAAGGGCTTGCCATCACAAGAGTGCGTAGAAACCCCGTTGTGTTACTGAAAGTAATATGAGCGGGAAGTCAGGGTGAGAAGAAATTGAAAAAAAGACAGAAAGAGGATTTTTTTCATCCACGAAGATCTGTGTTAGAACAGGGCGGTTCCCACTGGGCATGAACACAGTTTTCAGGCTGCGGTGGACTTCAGGTGGAGCAATTAGGGGACGTTTGGACCTTAGATGCCCTACCTGTGGAAGCCGCCTGGGTTCTGTGCCTTTTTTATTGCTAAGCTGTTGTTCACATTTGCCGTTCACAGTGTGAACCCACGTGGCAGGGGACGGCAGTGTTACTCTCCTAAGTAGCCCAGTAAATCAGGTGCAGGATGCTAGAAATTGTCATGAGGAGAGATTCGCTACCGGTGGAAAATCCGGTGCTGGCTTCCCATTGTACCCGACCTGTTTTTGTGCAGGTGCTTGTTTTGGTTTTTCCATTAAAAAGCCTGGAAGCGTCTGCCCCACCTGTGTCGCGGTGCACGGGTCTGTCTTGCTCTCCTGATAGGGGCATTAGTGTGTGTGGACGGAGCCATCCTCTTACCTGGCTCCCTTGCGACTAGGCGAGTGCGTGTCTCCGAACTTAACATCCAACATAAAGCCAAAGTGTGTTTAAAAAAATGTTAGAGTTTGCTCTCTGCTGTGCTTGTTACTGAATCCCCCTTTCCTCCCGATTTTTAACATTCAGGAAATAATACACTCTGGATGCCAGGTGCTTGGGGGTAAGGGGTATACTTGACCTGATTATAAATAACCCGCTCTCTTCCTTGAAACTGAACTTGGGACTAAAACTCTTTCGAAGAAATGAAATTAGTTTGAATTTTGTGTATTTAGAAGGAAGAAAAGGTGACATTATTACGACTAAGTGTCTCCAGACTAAAGCATACAAGAAGTCACACTCGGGACCCGGCTCGCCCCGGGCACTAGAACTTCGTGTTATTGGAGATGGTCTCTCTCCACGCCATCCAGTATGGTGGCCACTAGCCCCGTGTGGCTGCTGAGCACTTGTTATGTGGTTCATGCCACCGAGAGACTGAATTTTCACTGTATCTGTTGAAGTTGAAGTGGCTGCAGGTGCCTAGTGCAGGGCCCCTGTGTTCTGCAGCACAGGTCTGCCCACCTGGGGAGGTGTTTTGGGCCGTCGGGTAGGTGATTCCTTGTAGAAAGCTCTCCCTGACTGTTAATACCCAGGCTGCATTTTAGGAAGAGATCGCAGTAAAATCTCAAGTGTTGATTCTCGATGCATTTTCTAGCAGTCTTCGTGATGGACTGGTAGGGGTGTTGGTGCCGTGAAGGATCAGATTTTTGCTCTTGAACTTGAGGTGCAGATTCTGCCGTGGAATTACAGCCTGTGAAGTGTATCTTTCATTATAAGTTCTGGGTGTCTTTTTGTTGTTGTTTTAGCTTCTACACTAGAGACGCTTGGTTGAATTAGTGTGGCTGCCTTTGGGAAGGCATGCTATGTATGTAAACATCTCCACCCCTTTTGTTAAATATTTTGCTCCCTCGCCCGGCCGGGCGTGGCTCAGCGGTTGAGCATCAACCTGGGATCCAGGCGATCAGGGTTCGATTCCCAGTCGGGACACATGCCCGGGTTGTGGGCTCGATCCCCAGTCAGGGGCGTGCAGGAGGCAGCCGATCAATGACTCTCTCATCATTGACGTTTCTCTCTCTCTTTCTCCCTCTCCTTTCCTCTCTCTGAAATCAATAAAGATATATTAAAAACAACCATTTTGCTTCCTGGTTAACAGCATAGACTAGAGCTAGGCCGTGCAAGCTCAGGCCCCTAACTGCCACGTATTAGTCGTGACCTTGGGCAGGTTACCTGACTGCTCTGTGCCTGTGCCCTCATCTTAAAATTAGGATAATTGTATCTATACATAGGCTTACTGTGAAGATTAAACGAGTTCGTATTTATAATTCACTTAAAACAGGGCCCGGTACATTTTAAGTGCTATATGTGTCGGGGTTTTTTAAAATAAAACATTTAATTAAAGGAGATTGGGTGGACAGCAAGAGCTGCTACCAGCAGAGTGAACCCCTTTGGGTCTCATTTTACCCGGGCCTCTTATTTTCAACTCTATAGACTGTGTGTAGTCTGCGTATGGAGACACAGCCAGTGGGGAGGTGGGAGCTGCCCCTTCGTCCCCAGTCCTCAATGATTCTGGAGAGCAAGAATGTTGAGGTAAAAAACAAGTACACATGGCCCCGGCTGGTGCGGCTCGGTTGGTTGGGCAGCGTCCCAGGCATCGAAAGGTTGCTGGTTCAATTCCCGGTCAAGGCACATGCCCAGGTTGCAAGTTTGATCCTCGGTAGGCTGCGAGCAGGAGGCAGCTGATTGATGTTTCCCTCTCACATCAGTGTTTCTCTCTTTCCCTCTCCCTTCCTCTTGCTCTAAAAATCAATAAAAAAATCTTTTTTTTTAAAAGAGGTTCACATGGACCTTTGAAATTCCGGGCAAGTAGAAAAACCAACAGGGATGTCTCTTGGTGCTTGAGGTCTCCCCTGCACAAGACGGAGTGGGCACCGTGTTGCTCTTGGTGAGTGTGGGTTGGCTGAGTGACTGGATCTCAGAAAGGTGGCAGCCAAGCAAACCCCATGTGGCGGAAGGACCCTGTGTCTCTTGAAGGCTGCAGTTAGTCACCATCTTCAGGTGCCTCGACATAACTCACTACTCCTTGACTCTCTGGTGGTGTCTCTTGCCAAAAGCAAAGTATTTCCGCTTCACTGGTGCAGTATTTATTACGAGTTCTCTGGCTGGTGAATAATTACGTGCTAGGAGAACCCACTGTAGCTGGCTGTCTTTGGAGAGCTGTCTACAGAAAGCCGGAGTGGAGGAAGGTAGGGTAGTTGGAGCATTTAGTCCAACCTGTGAGCTCCCTCCAGCCTCCGACACCACCGAGGTCTAAGCTCCAGGCACCGGGCTCTTGGCTTCTGATCTGAGGACTCCAGCTCCGGAGGCACAAGGACAGCAGAAGTGGACTTTATTCAGGGCCATTTTGCTGTCCATTGCACCATTCAACTAGAAGCAGGCTGTTTAAATTGGAAGAGCCCAAGAAAATCATAATCCGGAAATTTAAAAGCTACTGGGGGTTTTTAGAAAACTTGCTGTAAAAACATTGCATAAAAAGGGCAGAACAAGTGACTTAGTTATAAAGTAGTGTCTTCTGGTGTCTTGTTGATCGTGAACGGAGGGAGGAGCCATGAAGAGCTGCTGTCTGCTCACCTACAGCCAGACTTCTGACAACCTCTGCCTTCCAGAAGGGCTGGAATTCCTCCAGCAAGCCGGCCAAGTGGAGGAGCAGCTCCTTTGTGCCCAGGAACAATGAGCCCAGCTAACTGAGCCAAGGATCATACCCAAAGAATGAGGATTGTCTGCAGAAGGGAAGATGTTTCCTGCTTAGTTGGTGGCGTCCATAAAAAGCCACTTTCTGTTCTTTTAGTGGTTTTCCTTGAAAGGAAAAAAAAAAAAAGTGGAACAAATACAATAAAGAGACAACAACAGAGAACAGCGAAGGCCTGATCGATGACAGAAATGGCAGTGAGGACACAGGAGCGGACGTTCTGATAGAGGTCCATTGAGGGCCAAGGCTCCGGGTTGGGAGGTAAACAGCTTCTTGCACCAGGCCCAGGGCTCAGGTGAGGCAGGTGAGGTGTGTAGGACACACAATTTCAGGAGGTGCTATTCTCAGGGTTGTGCACGTGCACATGGTTCATGAAAACCGAGTAATTTGTACACAGCTTCTGCACGCACACCACCACGGAGCTAAGAGGATCACAGACGCTCTGGCGTGTAGGGCTGGGGTGCACATTCTCTAGCGAAGGTCAAGAGCAAAAGATCATAGGAATGTGGGCCCGTTTCAGACGAGAAAGTCTACATTTGTGCCCAAGAAAAGGGCAAGCGCAAGAAAACAGTAAGGATTCCTGGTAGACTGTTCCAGAAATCCAGCTTAGCCCGAGGATATGGTTGAAATGACGATGGAACTCTGCCCTGGCCGGTGCGGCTCAGTGGGTTGGGTTGTCCTGTGCACCAAAAGGTTGCAGGTTCGATTCCCAGTCAGGGCACATGCCCAGGTTTCGGGCTCGATCCCCAGTAGGGGGCTTGCAGGAGGCAGCTGAAGTGAATGTTCCCCTCTCACATTGATGTTTCTCTCCCTCTCCCTTCTTCTCGCTCTAAAAAAATCAATAAAGATATGTTTAAAAAACTAATGATGGAACTCACCCTGTGGACTCAGATTATAATTTAGTGCTTTTTCCCTTACCATCTCTCTGCTCCACAATGTAAACTCTCCTAGTCAGCAATGGATGAAGTTACGCAGAATATGAAATCTTTTCAGAAAGAAAGAAAAATTCCAGAGAAAGCAGAACCTCGGGCATTGACTAAGAAGAACTTTTCACCTTATGGGGAAAAGAGAAAAAAAGGGGGGGATTTTAATCATCTGCATGCCTGGAGTTTTGTTCAGAGAGAAGTGGTGCAGAACCTGCAGTTGGGGAGGAAGCCCGCTTCTGAGTGCTCATGCGCAAAGCGTGCCCGCGGCAGGTTACCTGCAGGGCCTCGTGCACGTGGTGTGGAAGCCAGAGGAAAATTTTAGAGAACACAGGTCAGAGCTGCTCGTGCTGGAGGACGGTGCTGGGGAGGAGGCCGCTTCCACGTTTGATGGGCGAGCTCATTTGCAGAAGAGGTGCCATGCTGTGCTGCCCGCCGAGGAAATCCCTTCACTGGGAGGCTTTGCCCTTTGTGGGGGAGAGGAAAATGACCTAAAGGCCAAGTGGACTCAAAGACCTTGTACAAGCAGCCAGGTCCAAGGCTGTTGGAG